ATGAGATGGATTGATTCGGTGACTGGGGTAATCGGGATGGGTGTGTCAGAGATGGTGCAGTTGGCGCAGGATAGAGTAGGGTTTAGGGCTGTTGTGCATAGGGTCGCTATGAGTCGGAAATGACTCGACGGCACCGAACAACAACAACAACAACAACAGCTTCCTTGGTGTGAAATGGGAAGGCGAAATCTTACAGCATACTGCAGTGGCAAAAATCAGTGAGGATCTCTTTACCAAGTTCCTTGAACTTCAAAGGGTCATTCCTTCCCCCTGAAGTCCCTCCTGTCCGGCCCTGTGTGTGTGGCCCTGTGCAGCTCGTCGCACAGAAGAGAGGAGAGGGGACAGGGACATGGGTCGTGGGGATTCCCACAACCATCTAGCTGCCACATGCAAGTGAGTGGAGTGGGGTGAAGGAGGGAAGGAAGAGGTGTACAGGATCCAGGCCAGAGACGGGGGAGCCTGGAACGAGGGGCTGAGATGAGGAGGACTCTGAGTGCATTAGGGCTGGAAGTGGATGGTGGGTGGTAGAGGGCACCGCCCGCTCTGTGTCAGAGGTGTGGATCAGAGAGGGCTGTCTGATCCAGTGGAGAGATCAGGAGGCCAGGGCAGCAGCTGTCCTCTTCCTGCCTGTGAGACTTCCCAAGGCCATTGTCCCCCACGGACACACCTCGGGTTCTTACAGACAATTTACTGTGACAAATGGGATAGTCACACGTGGAGAAGGTTTCTGCTTCAAGAGAAATGAAAGGGAACATATGCTTTATGAAAATGACAACTACGGGAGCTGTGACAAGCTCCAAGGGGTCAAAGGGAACGACTGCTGTTAGAAAAGTGAGGTTAGACACATGTCATGGACACATGTTGTGTACGTGTGTGAAGTGACGCTCTGTACACATGCATATGTACGTGCATGTATGTAGGTGTGCATGTGAGCGGTACAGCTCAGGAGACCTCCTTCCGGGAAGGCATCTGCCTAGCTCTGCTGGACAGAAGGTCTGCATAAAACCTCTGACAAGGGAGGAAACGAAAACGAGATAAAGTCCTCACACCCACGCAAATACTCAACACTGTGACTGGTTATTCTGACTGTGTTAACGCATCGGGGCTGACGACGCTGAGTGTGAGGCCTCCGAGTCCACAGAGAAACCTTAATAAGGAGCAGGGCGAGCAGCTCCACGTCCTGGAGTGGCCACCTTGGTGGGGCCACCTTGGTGGGGTCACCTTGGTGGGGTCACCTTGGTGTGGGCCCTGAAACCTGCAGCTGAGCCTCATGTTAACAAGCAGAAGACTCACATCGCAGACACAGCAGAATTCCTAGTCTCATGACCAGGAAGGTGAGCGAGCAAACAGCTCACTGGAATGAACACAGGGAAACCACGTGACAGAAGCAGGTGGGCTGTGGGGACTTTCCTTAGTCAGCCCAGTCAGTCCCACAGCCAACCACTAGGCTAACAGGCCCTGTGTTCCAAAAGAACCCTCTGGAGCCACGCAGTGCTCGAGAGGCCGGGAGCCACTGCACATCTAGGCATCTTCACGTACTGAAATCACAATCTCCTCCCCGTCATGGGGCCCCATCCCCAGTGCCAGAGCCTGGTCAGCATAAGGCTGGAGCAGGGAGCCAAGATGTAGTTACAGCACTGCTGGGGACACTCTCAGTGGATGGAGTCACTTGCTCCCCATAAGGCAAATGCTATTTTGGTCACAGTAAAGCTGAAGAACTAGTTCGCATCCAGACACTTTTTCTGAAGCTCCTGGCAAGAAGCAAAAAGGCCACACGGGCCACCTGGTACGCTAGTCCTCACTGGTTAGGAAGGAGGCCAGCCCGAGACAGAGCCTCAAGTCCTGCCTGTACCCACATGTGAACATCTCAGTCCGGGCGAGCCGGTTCTCAACGGCCACGTCACAGTGAGCCCCAGAGGAAAGAAGAGGCCACCACTCAGGGTGCTGAGGCTGAAGAGTTCCTGAGACCTTCCTCCTGTCACATGAGCACAGGCCACTTCAGAGTCCCGGGCCATCTCGAGCCTGCCCCGCCTCAGAGCACCAGCTCTCCACAGCAAGAGGCCAGGAGACAGCAAAGTGCCCAGAGTCCCACCTGCAGACTGGCCTCTCAGAGCAGACAGATACATGGCCACCTGCAGGCTGTGGAGACTGGAGAGTGATGCTCCACAGGAGGCCTGGGCAGGGCGTCAGGTGTGGGCTGTCACTGGATAGGTCTGCAGCTGCAGGCCCCAGGAGCTCCGTGGGAGACACAGGCCGGCTTCTCACGAGAAGATTCACGCTCTCAGAAAGCCTACAGAGGAGCACAATCGACTCCAGATGGTGGATTTTGGAGTTACCACCAAAAGATGTGTGTAAAGGAACTTGGAAACATGCCTTCTGGAAAGGGAAAGCTGACACAGATGGACAGACAGCACCTGCTAGGTGAGTTCACAGGAGGGTAAACTAGGTCTCCACCTGGCTAGAACAACAGAACGAGGGCATCCATGAACTGGAGAAGTGGATTGCAGGTCTGCTACCTGCTTTCCAAAAAGAAAAAACCCGCACAAGGCTTTGGTGGTAGGTTCTGAAACACAGGAGGACAGGTAACTGCTGAGTGCACAACAGCCTCATGTGGTAGTGACACACTGAGCCAGGGCAGGGACCAGGCTCACCGGGCGGAGGCAGGACGCCGCTGCCCTGGCCTCGGGCTGCAGGCCTTCACGTCACAATCTGGCATCTCTCAGCGACTGCTGGATGGATTACTTCAAACGACTGCACCTACTCTGCAACTGGTTGCCAAAAACACTGACTTGAGGTTTTCCTTTCTTAAACTGTCATACTGCCCTGGCAGAGTGGTTAAAGGCTTGTCAACGCCAAGGCCCAAGTTTCAAAGACATCAGCCGCTCCAAGGAATGATGACATGGTTATCTTTCACTGAGACTGTTGATGCTAGACGCCAAGTCAAGTACACCTCACAGTGACCCTATGAACAAAAGATCTGAACCCAGTCCTGTCCTGCACCATCCTCACGCTTCCTGACACACTAGCGCCCACTGGAGCAGTCACTGCGTCAATCCACCTGGTCAAGGGTCTTCCTCTGTTTCACTGACCCTCCACCCTTCCTAGCATCATGTCCCTTTTCAAGGAATAGCCACTCTTTGCAAGATGCTCAAAGCATGTGAGGCAAAGCCTCACCATTCTTGACTCCAAAGAGCACTCCGACTGTACCCTCTCCAGAACATATTTATTCTTTTGGTAGTCCCAAGAGATGGTCAGGGATCTATCTTCTCCAACACCACAGCTCAAAGACATCAATTCTTCTGTCATCCTTAATCACAGTCCAGCTCCCAGATACACAGCAAGTGAGCGGAAAGACCATGGTCTAAGTGAGCCGCACCTCAGTCATCACGCTAACATCATTAATTCTCAATAATTTGTGGGGATCCCTAACTACAGCTTTTTTCCAGTGCAATGCATCTCCTATTTCATGACTGCTGACACTAAAGGTGTTACTTGTGGATCCAAGTAAGAAGTCGTTGACAGTTTCAATCTCCTCTCTCATCATGACATATCCAATCATCTCTCATCATTCCAATCCATCATGACATTGTCTTATCAGTCCCGCGCTGTCTTACTTTTTCTAATGTATTCCACGTTCCTTCATCTCTGTAAACGTTCATTAAAAAATAAAAAAAGAAAGAAAAAGAATCTTTGTTTTCTTTGACATTGAGATGCAAGCTATACTGAAGGCTGCATTCCTTAATCTTCTGGAGCAAGTGCTTTAAGTCCTCCTCAATTTAAGCAAGCAAGGCTGTACCATCTGCATAATACAAGTTATTGATGAGTCTCCCTCCAATCCTGATGCCACACGCCTCTTCACAGAGTCCAGCTTCTCCAATAATTTGAATGACCCAGAAAGCATCAAAAGAAGATGGAAGGAATACAGAGAATCACTCAGCAGAAAGAACTGAATGACACTGAATAATTTCAGGAAGTACAATATGAACAGGAGCCAATGGCAATGAAGGGGGAAGTGGAAGATGCATTAAAGGCATATAAGGCCCCAGGAATTGATGGAATATCAACTGACTTATTTCAGTTAACAGATGCAGCCATGAATGTGTTCACCAGTCTATGCTGGGAAACTTAATGGTGAATGGATTGAAGAGGCCCATATTTGTTCCCATTACCAAAAAAGGTGATCCAACAGGATGTGGAAACTATCAAACAATATCATTAATATCACATGTAAACAAAAGCCTGCTGAAGATCACTGAAAACCAGCCAAAACTGTATACAGGCGGGGAACTGCCAAACGTTCAAGCGGGTTTAGAAGAGGCCATGGCCTCAGGGATACCACTGCTGACGTCAGATGAATCCTGGCTGAAAGAACACCAGAAGAATGTCTGTCTGTGCTTTACTGACTGCGCAGAGGCATTTGACTGTGTGGATCACAAGTCATGGCTGACATTGCAGAGAGTAGAACTGCCAGGGCACTTGACTGTGCTCTTGTGACCAGGAGGCTGCGGTGCGGGTGGCGCAGGGAAGCACTGCACGGTGTGGAACTGGGAACAGAGCGCGCGCTCTCTCCGTATCTAAGCAGTCCACATGCTGAGCAAATTCTCCGAGAAGCTGGACTCCACTGAGACTACAGCCTTGGAAATCTTGGGGGTGCGGGGCTCTGCCCACACGGAGGAAGTAATCTGGCAGCCATGAGGCGCATAGGGTCCTGCAAAGTCTCATCGTGGGTGGACTGATCTGGGAAGTTCCAGAAGAACCGTAACGCCCCAGGAAGGCCCAACTGTAGAAGAGCAGCTACGGACAGGCAGCTTAGCCTTTTCTGCTGCCGACACTTTCCAACCACCACGGGAAGCTCAGCACCAGTCCAGGTGACCTCAGGAAATGTGGGTGCGGCCTGCAGCCCGGCCTTCACCCACCGACCTACTCATCTAGACGCGGGACTGGGCCCCAGCTCCCCGGGCCTGATGCGCCAATTAGTACCATTATCGGGAGCCTTTCCAGTTGTTCCACATTTCTCAAGACGCGACCCACAAGTAAAACGCCTATTCCTATCGGGGGAGGGGCGGAAGTCCCAAGGGATCCCTCGGCAGGAGCATCCCTGTAAACACGAGACAAGCAGCTCCGTTCTGGAGGTGAGTGTCCTCCACGTGACACTTCATCCGAGCGGACTGGACACACAGCATGTGTGGACATGCGACGGTTACACATACGCCGACACGCCACACAGGAGCCAACACGCCACACAGGTGCCGACAGGCCACACACGCACCAACACGCCACACGTGCTGACACACCACACATGCTGACACACCACACACATGCTGACAGGGCACACACCCACACACAAGCCGACACGCCACAGCATTAGCTTACCACTTCTCAGCCCACAGAGGGGGCTCACGCAGCGCACCTTAGTGAGGCTCTCTGGTGTCCCTCCTCCACCCACAAGCTTGGGAAGAGAACCTCTGTCTGGTGACGCTAACCCAGCTCCGCGGGAGTGCCTGTGGGAAGGGGCTGGGAGCGCAGGGCCGGCCGCTGCTGTACTCACTCTAACACTTCGTAGTTGGACTTCTTCTCCAGGGCGTTGCCTCGCATCTCCCAGTAGGACCGCCTAAAATCAGCAAAGACACAAAATTCACCTTCCTATACAGCACATCGGGGTTGGTTCTATCTTAAAACGAGAGCAGGTGAGGGCTGTGCTGAAATACTGTACAGCGTAGCCACCACACTGTGGTGGACCAGGACGAGAGGCAGCCCGACCCACAGTACTCCTCCTCCTCAAAGCAGCGGACCCCACACAGAACTACCGAGGACCCACTCTTGGAAAGGAGAGAAGCGAGATCCCAGGTTGAGAAGGTATTTTCTCCGTCACCGGCACGCTGCATTGTTTTCTCCGGAGGCAAGTGCAGGACAGCACACAGGGACCTGTCCCTGAAGTGGCCAGGCACCCAGCACAGGGAAGAGGCTCTCAGCTGAGAAAGTGGCCAGTGTGAGACGAGGTCAGGCTCCTGCAGAGCGCGTGACCTGCCCCACCACGCTGAAGTCTATGCTGGAAGGCCACCTCTTCTCTAAACGACAGTATCAAGCAAGTTCAGGTGGATCTTTCTATGCAAAATCTGATACCAAGGGAAAGGATTGTGTCTCAAAGCATCTCACAGACACAGATGGCTTTAAATTACTTTCTGATACATTATTGTTACAAATCATCTGAAACAAGGTTAGAGTAGTTGATATAGTGTTTCCGAAGGAAGACTGGGTTTCAAGCTTCTCTAGTAGAGCCTAAAGTTTAATCAGTGATTACTGTTGTTATGTGCCACTGAGTCACCTGTGACTCATAGCGACCCTTTGTACAACAGCCCTAAACCCTGCTCTATCCTGTGCCAATCTTATTGTCTGACATATCTACCGCCATTACTCCAGTGACTAAATCAATACATCTCATCGAGGGTCTTCCTCTCCTGGGCTGTCCCTCCAACCTCCCAAGCATGACGTCCCTCTCTAAGGACTGGTCCTTCCTTGAAACATGTCCAAAATAGGTCAGACGAAGTTTCAGAATCCTTGCCTCCAAGGAGCAGTCTGATTTCACCAACTCTAGGACAGACTTGTTTGTTCTCTTAGTAGTCCACAGCTCAAAGACATCATTATGCTACCAATCAGCTCAGTAGTGAGAATCCTTATTTTCTTGATGTTGAGCTTTAATCTGTATTGAAGACTGCAATCCTTGACCTTCTGCAGCAAGTAGTTTAGGTCCTTCTCAGTTTCAGCAAACAGGGTTGTGTCATCTGCATAACACAGACTGTTGATGAGTCTTCCTCCAATCCTGATGCCACATTTCTCCTCATAGAGCCCAGCCTCCCGGATAATCTGTTCTGCATCTAGATTGAACAGGTATGGAGGTAAGACACATCCCTGGTGCACATCTTTCCCAGTTTTGAACCATGCAGTGTTTACTTGCTCTGTTCTGATGGCTGCCTCCTGGTCCAAGTACAGGTTTCACATAAGCATGATCAAGTGTTCTGGGATTCCCATTCTTCTCAGAGTCAGCCACAGTTTGTTGTGATCCACACAGTCAAAAGCCTTTGCATAGTCAATGAAACACAGACATCCTTCTGGTATTCCCTGCTTTCGGCCAAGATCCATCTAACATTAGCTATATTACCCCTAGTACCACGGCCTCTTCTAAACCCAGCCTGGACGTCAGGCAGTTCTCTGCTGAAGTGCTGTTCCAGTTGCTTTTGGATAATTTTCAGCAGAATCTTGCTTGCATGTGGTATTAATGATATTGTTTGATAATCTTGGCACTCTGTTGGATCACCTTTTAGGATGTGAACAAATACAGATCTCTTCTAGTCAGTTGGCCAGGTGGTTGTCCTCCAGATTTCTTGACACAACCTGGTGAGCATGTCCAGGGCAGCAAGTGTTTGCTGAAATAGGCCAATTGGCATACTGTCAATTCCTGAGGTTCTTTTTTTTTTACCAATTCTTTCACAGCAGCTTGATCATCTTCATTCATCACCACAGGCTCTTGCTCATATGCTGTTTTATTAAATTCTTTCGTGTCCACCAATTCCTTTTGGTACAATGATTCTGTATACATCTTTTTTTAATGCTTCCTGGATCATTCAATATTCTGCCCAAAGCATCCTTAAGTATTACAACTTGAGGCTTGAATTTGTTCTTCAGTTCCTTCAGCCTAAGAAATGCCAAGTGAGGCGAGCTCTGGTGGGCTAGTGGCAAGACGGTGTACTGCAATCCCAGAGGTACATGGTTCAAATCCACCAGATGCTTTGCTGGAGAAGGAGGAATAATCTCCTCCTGTACCTGTCAGATCTGATTTGACAGTACGCCCCCCCCCCAAAAAAAATGCCAAGTGAGTTCAGCCTTTGATTTTATGACTCCAGCTCTTTGTACATTTCATTATAATACTTTACTTTGTCTTCCTGCGCTGCCCTCTGAAATCTTCCGTTTAGCTCTTCATATCTTGAATTCTTCCCTTTGCTTTGGCTGCTCGGTGCTCTAGTGCACTATCCAGAGTCTCTTCTGTGATAGTAAGATGAAGGGGAAAGATTAAGCAGCAGGGAGGAAGCACAGGAAGGAGGAGGGAGTCGGAGGGCAGGTCAGGAGCTAGGGAGTGAAGGGAATAAACCACCACGAGGGAGGGCAGCGTGGAAAGGAGAAGAAAACATTGCTGAGAACCCAGGGGAGTCCGACTGCCATTCCCACGGCACTAGCTCTCGACAGTGTCCCCTGCAGGAGTAAGCCTGGTGGCTCAGTGCTTTAAAGTGCCAGCTGGGCAGTTCAAGCCACCAGCTGCTCAGAGGAAGGAGGAGGAAGAGGAGGAGGCAGCCTCTTTCTGTAAATATTAGCAGCCGTGGAAGAACCCCCGTGGGTGAGCAGGGCCCTGACGGCAGTGGAGTTGAACTGTGGTTTGGGGGAAGGCCTGTGAATGCTGTCTAAGTGAAAGTACCATGAAGCCTTTTGCTGTTGGGATGCGTAACTTAGGAGAGCAGCTTTCACGGCAGGCCAGTGCCAGGCATACGGCAGCCTCCGGATCTCTGCAGGAACAGCTGTTTATCAGCCTCCCCACAGGGGATAAATAGTCCTCTTTGGGGGACATAATGAAATGTAGTCCAATTTAACCAATTCATATTACATTAGCAGCCCAAGGTAAATTTTTGTTAACATTACACACGACGATTGTAAAACTTTTTTTTTTAAATTTTTTATTATTTTTCTGTGTGTGTACCATCAAATCAGATCTGATTGGTATAGGAGGATCTTGTTCCTCCTTCTTCAGCAGAGCATCTGGTGGATTCGAACTGTGCACCTCTGGGATTGCAGTGCAGCTTCTTGCCACTAGGCCACCAGAGCTCGCCTGTAAAACATTTTTAAGTAAAAATTTAGCCTGATGTTACACAAGGTATTATATGACAGCTGAGTAGCAGTGAGGCATAGTGTCATACTGCTAACCAAAAGGCTTTTGGTTCAAATCCACCGCTGCCCTGCAGGAGAGACAAACAGCCTCAGGAACCCAAGGGGAAGGTCACTACGAGTCGGGCTGACCTAACACCAGGGAGTATGTGACTGATGGTGACAGGTGCAAGCACGAGGCACACACTCAGATTTCCACTCAGACTATTGTCCACTGCAGCACTCAGCAGTCACACAGAAGCATGTCAATGGCCACACTGCAGGTGCTGGAGGTGGGCCCAGGGCACAGGCCCCAGGGCACAGCAGAGGCCCAGCACTGTCTGCTGACACAGTCCTGGCCAGGGAGCACCGCCGCTCACTGAGGGATCCACCCACACAGAATGCACTCATTTCAAAAGACGCAATGATTTCAACAATTGGCAATATCTACAAATCTAGAAGCTGCTCAAACTTTTATTCAAACTTCATCCAATAGTTTACTGATAATATTTACACAGCAAAGGATAATACTAAATAATTTTTAAAAACCCCAAACACAAAACCTCAAAGAGTGAACACCACTGATGAACAAATGCTTCCCAGCTAGTTACCACCTTACCGTATCTCTAGACATCCCAGCTTCAAAGCAATGTCCTGGTCAACTTGATCTGCAATCTCTAACATATAGTCACTCTTAACCTGCAACACAAAGGAACAGGATAAGAAATGCTGCTTTCAGAGAATACATTTTAACATTATTTGCTCCATAAAGGATTAGTGAGTGTCTCTGCATACTTTCTACACACTGTGTCGACAATTATCTTAGGTGTTTGTAGTATAAAGAGGGCAGAAGGAAATAAACAGGAAAGCAAAGGAGTAAGAGATCACCCTCAACATCATTAAGAGTGTGTTACAATCTGGAGGTCAGTTTTTACTAAGCATATAATCCATAATTATTTAGATGGGACACTAAACAATTAACATCAATGGAATCATAAGTAAGGCCACGCTGCTTTATATGCACACACTTCTCAATCACATCAAAACTGAAACAGGAAACAAGGTGTCCACTCCCACAATAATCTGCAGCATGTGTATTTTTCAAGCATAAACTGAAGCGCTGTTCCAGACTTCAATGTTTCTATGTATTTCAAAATACCCTTAGCCATGTAGCTGAAGCAGTGGCCTTCACTCATCTGCGGCGTAACGGCACGCTAAAGGCAAGTCCCAAGACAAGCAGCTCAGGGAAGTTCCAAAGGGCCCCCCAGCGATGGACGTGCTCAGACAAAGCCAGGGCTCCTCAAGCTGCTGGAAGTGGTAGAGCCTCTCAATGTCAGGGGGACCTGGGGACCTCGTCTGGAGGGAGCTGTGCTGCTAACCCAAAGGCCATGATTTTCTCGCAGTTCAAATCCAACAGTGGTTCTAAGGGAGAAAGGGGGGCAATCTCCCCTGTGATTGACAGCCTCTGAAAACCTGCCAGAGAGTCAACTACAAGTGGGTTCTGACTCGAAGGCTGTAAGCGAGCCACTGGTTTAGTGTGAAGATATTATAAGAGGAAATGCAAAGCACTTGTAAAAATTGTAAAGAGGTATACTATCAAACTAAAATGCAGAAAAGACAATTCACGATCTCTATTTGTATGTGACAGAGATTAAGTATCAGATCAAACCCAACTGTCACATTTAGTGAATCTAAGTAACAGAACCACTGCAGAAGGCCAAGTGTGTGCAGAGTTAAAGACAGCATCGCAACCTCATCTTTTAGACTAATGACCATCCCTCCTCCCGGGGGGAGTCATCATGCCATGTTTCTTTCATCCAAACAGGGCTGATGGTAGCTGCACAAATGAAAATGGGGAGAAAATACAATTCCACAAGTCCTATGGGGAAATGCACCAGGTGCAGGAGGATGAGGAGGTTGGGCAGTCTCCCTCTGGGAGATTTACAGCCTCTGAAAACTCACTGGACGGTCAGCTATGAGTAGGTTCTGACTCAAAAGCATACAACAGCAGCAACATGAGGAAATGCACTCCTCCGTCAGCCCAACTAGATGAGACCAGGTGGTGTCATCTGCAGTGCGCAGGGCCTGCTAACCAAAAGTCTGCCTAACTCTGGCTGTTCAAATCCACCTGCAGTGCTCAGGGAGAAAGACCGGGCAGTGTTCAACACAAACTCCTTTCAAGCTTTCTCTTGTGTACTCAGTGTATAGAATTACATCTGTCAAGGACCATGCCAGCCTACCAAATCACACTTGTTCCAATCCATCATGTGTCATTAACCTAATGTGAGCAGCACCCCTGCCAGTCCACGCAACAGATGAAACCAACGTGGGGTGCCCGACCACCCTAAAAGGATTAGAGTACGGGGAAATGTGGGACAAACTAACAAATACAACAAAATCCAGGCATACTAGTCCAAGAGAGACGGGGAATCCCCAGGCCAAGGGCCCGGCCTCAGCACCTGCAGGAACAGCGTCCTCCCTGTGGCTCACCTCAGCCCACCACGGCAGGCCCACAACACTGTGAAAAGGGGAGGCACTCCCCATCAGGACAGCCAAGCACAGAAGGTCAAGGGCAGCATGTGGCCAAAGGTCGAGCTCAGAGGCAGGACAGGCAGGAAAGAAGAGGAAAGCACGGAGAATGACAAGCACACGGAAGAAAAGGGTGTTTTTAATACTGTACGTAATGCTATCAAGGTTCTGAAGCAGATGGGATCTGGAAGGCACGTCTTTTCTAGTTGATTAACAGTGAGTTGTAGACTCGGAGCCTCTGGTTTAATGCAACTAGGACCTGGTTGGTGAGTCTTTTAGATTTGATTAACTATCAGTTGTGGGCTAGGAGCCTCCTGTTTAAGACAGCCAGGACCTGGCAAGTGGGCCTTTGTGATTAACGGTGGGGATCTCTGGCCTACAGCCCTTGGGCCTGGGGTGAAGCCTGATTTGCTATGAGAGGTACAAACTAAATAATCAGTCTGTTGTATCTGGGGAACACACTGTTCTAACTGGTGCAACACTTGTCTGTCTGTCTGCTGGATTGAGATAACTTGTGGGTTGCCGTAACACTTAAAGCTATGCCACTCGTGTATCAAATGCCAAAGGGTTACCCTTGGTACACAGGTTTTAGTAGAGCTTTCAGATTAAGACAGACTAGAAATCAGGATTGACCATCCACTTCTTAAATAACAAGCCTCTGAAGACTCTTTGAACAGTAGAAAAAAAATGTGGATTGTTACTGTATTAGAGGTGGAAACCAAACTGGAAGTCAGTCCAAATGAGGAAAAATAATGGCAAACATCCTTTAATAAATAATTGGAACATAGAATGTAAAAAGCTTGGATGTTGGAAAACAAATTCTGAAAAATGAAATAGAATGCATGCACACTAACATTCTAGGCATTAGTGAGATGAGATGGACCAACTTTGGCCATTCTACATCAGATAATCACATGGCATACTATGCTGGGAATGAAAAAAAGAATAATGGTATCGTACTCAGAGTCAAAAAGTCAACTTCAAGTTCTATCCTGAAGTACAATGTTGTGAATGATAGAATACTATCCATACACATCGAAAGAAGGAGGACCTGTTCGTACAACTGCTATTGAAATACATGTTCCTCACCTAGAGCCAAAGAGGAAGAAATTGAAAACTTTAGCAAATCTTGCCATCCAAAGTTGACCGAACATGCAATCGAGATGTGCTAACGATAACTGGAATGCAAAAATTGGAAACCATGAAGAAGGAAGGGGAGTCAGACAGTATGGACTTGGTAATGTAAATGAGGCTGAAAATGACAGAATTTTCAATGATACATATTCATTGCAAATACTTTTTTTTAAACACTTTACGCATGGACCTCACCTGATGGGCTGCACAGGAATCAGACTGACTACATCTGTAGAAGGAATTGTTGGAGAAGCTTGGTATCAGCAATCAGAACTAGGCCAGGGCAGACTGTGGGTCAAACCATCAATTACTCATGTAAATTCAAATTGAGGCCAAAGAAAATTAAAACAAGGGCACGAGAACCAAAATATGATCTGGAATCTATTCCACCTGAATTTCAAAATCGTACTAAGTTTGAAGCACTACACATCAACAATGTTATCAAACAATGTGTATGACTGCCTGCATGGAAAACCAAACTGCCTTACAAATATTCATACACCTTGTTCTTGTTACGTGTCAAAACGCCTCCCACTCACAGTGACTCTATTTACAGTAGGTCTGAAGCCTGCCCTGTCCTGGGCCAGTCTCACTAATTCCTACACACCTACTCCCTTATTGCCCTAGCTGCTATGTCAATCGGTCTCATCCGGGGTCTTCCTCTCCTGTGCTTTCCTCCAACCTTCCAAGCATGATGTCCTTCTCCAAGGACTGGTCTCTCTTGGCCACATGCCCAGAGCATGTAAGATGGAGCTTCAAAATGCTAGCCTCCAAGGAGAAACTTGGTTTCACATTCTCCAAGACAGACCTATTTGTTGTCTTCGCAGTCCATGGTTTGTTTAAGACTCTTCTCCAGCACCACAACTCAAAGGCATTAATTTTTCTTCTACCTTCCTTAATCATTATCCAACTCTCTGATGCATAGCAAGTAATCGTGAAGACCATGGACTGGATCAAGCACACCTTAGTCACTGGAAAGGTCCCTGACAGCAGATTTTTCTAATGCAATTTGTCTTTTGATTTCCTTACTGCTGGTGCCAAAAGTGTTGATTGTGGAGTCAAGTAAGCTACAACTGTTAACTTCAATCTCGGTGAGCCCCGTAGGGCCGGGGAGGCACCAGCTGCCGCGCGGGAGGAGGCCGAGCCCGCAGCTTGAGGGAGGCCCCGGCCCCTCTGCACCTGTGTCTGGCAGAGCCGGTGTGAGAAGAAGAGACAGTCTTTTCCCCTGCTGCCCGGATAATCAAGAGTTTTGGCCGGACCTTTGAGCGCACACCGACATAGTGCGGAGCCAGACGAAAAGCAAAGGCTATGGCGCTGAAATGGATTAATAAGGAACTTAGTGATTTGGCTCGCGATCCTCCAGCACAATGTTCTGCAGGTCCAGTTGGAGATGATATGTTTCATTGGCAAGCCACAGTTATGGGACCTAATGACAGCCCATATCAAGGCGGTGTATTCTTTTTGACAAGAACTTCAATCTCTTCTCCATCTGTCAAGGTGCTGTCAACTGGTCCAGTGGTGAGAATCTTTGACTTCTTGATGTTGAGCTTCAATCCATATTGAAGACTACAGTCCTTGACATTACAGTTTTATAAAAAGAAAACAAGGTAAAGATTTCATCCCATGTGTACGTGCTCTCATAAACCATGGCCATAAATCCAAGATGGAGTCCTGGAAATCCTCCCACAGGCCCCTGAGCCAGAGGTTGCCTGAACAATGAGTGTCCTGGAAAGGTCGTTGTTGTTAGGTGAATAGAGTATGGCTTATAGTGACCCTATGAAAAAGAGATCTGAACCTCATCCTACCCTGTGTGATCCTCACCCTTCCCAACACACTAGAGCACACTGCAGCGGTCACCACGTCAATGCACCTGGCTGAGGGTGTTCTCCTTCGCAGACCCTCCACTCTTCCAAGCATCATGTCCCTCTCTAAGGAAAAGCCCTCCTAGCAACATGCCCGAAGTGTATGAAGTGAGTCTCATCATCCTTGTCTCCAAAGAGGACTCGCTGAACCTCTAGAGCTAAGACATATCTATT